TTCTTCTTCTTTTTTTTCCAAAACGCATTCATTTATCGGCGCACATGCAGAATATGTTAACCGATTTTTCTTGAATAATTGATATATGGTGTCTTGGAACAAGCCAATACCACTTTACTATTCCACATAAACTTAAACATAAGAATATCTTCTGCTTGCGCTTATGAGTTCGTAAAATCTTCCTTGTAATTCCAAATTATGTTTGCTTGCTCTCAAGTGTTTGTAACAACGATACTACTTAAATATGGCAATACATGAGATAAAATATGAAAAGAGCTTAAATGTCCACATAGGATTTCCACTTAGCTTTTCTAAGAGAATTTTCATAATTTCACAACCTCGAGAAAATAAAAGACAACATAACTAGGTACGGATCATAACATGTGATCCCTCTATAATACGTGAAATGATATATTATGCACTTTGTGTTTCCGATACTAATAAGAGATTATCTCGGAAGCCTCATTCGAACAAAATTGATCGCGCTAATGATGGAGACAATACTTGTTCTCTACGTGAAAGTTAAGTAAGAGTACTTTTTAAGCAAATTTGGCAAAGGTTCTGAGCCAAATTCCAGTACTTTGACTATAAATTCAAGATAAAAAATCAAGATAAATTAACGTTCATTGGTTTGTCCTTAATTTAACTTATTTATAATATTAGTATAAAATTTGATATTAAATTATAAGGTGACGGAGAGTTCATGAAAAATTCTTGACAATTTCTCTTAAAAACAAAATAAAAAGTTTTGATTTAGAGAAATTATAAAAACAAAAATGACACGTTACACAGTCGTGACAAACATTGTTGGTGGCCCCACGCAACAAGAACCAATACATACGTAAGGGATGACCCAGTTTGTGTTTTCTTTCCACGAACAAATGGAACTGGATGGCCAACGTTTCTTGTTTTCCTAACGGAGTTGGAGTATCTCTCATATTTTTGTCCCTTCTCTTTCTTTATTTCATATTTGTACGGTCACAATTAAATCACATCAATATTTTATATTAATGTTTTTATAATGAAAGAAACACAAAGTCGAAAATGTGATAGGAGAGGGAAGGGAAGAGGAATTGAATGAGAGAGAATCCTACTTCTTTACTAACTTAGGAGAAAAGCTACTGTGTCGCTCCATAGGTGTGTTGGTTTATAATTGTAAGTGATGAGTGGTATAGTTATGTTTATGCACAAAATGTTACAGTCATGTAATAAGCGTTAATAAAATTGTTCTATGCCACTATATACTCATATGAAATTGAAACCGTTGTATTTGAGATCTACCCGAATCTAGTGTCAATGAGTAGGATGCCCAATTTTGTAGCAGAGTAGAATTCTCTTTTCTCTAAATTCCCTTTTTTACCTTCTTTTTTGTCTCTCTCTATAAAGAAGGTTTTTTTTTTTTTTTGTTTGTGAACAAACGATCTTATCTACACAAAGGGGAAATTCCCTTTTTTACCTTCTTTTTTGTCTCTCTCTATAAAGAAGGTTTTTTTTTTTTTTTTTTTTTTGTTTGTGAACAAACGATCTTATCTACACAAAGGGGTGGAAGAGTGAACAAACACTCTCTTCTCTAAATCCCTTATCTTTCCCTCATAGCAATAATGTGGTTCAAATTTGCCTTTGGCGAGAATTAAACCTAAGACATATTAATTATAAGTGAATAAGAATACTATTAGACCGTAATAAGTGACCTCTATAAAGAAGTTGGCGCAAGATGTAGCATGATTTAATCAGAAGCGTCAATAGGAGGGAACTAGAGAGAAGGAAAATGGAAGAAAAGAGATAGGCACTTAATTCCATTTTCCATGAATCCCATTTTCCACCTAAGGTCACAGCAGATTTCTGTTTTTGTAGCACTTAGCATGACTCCTCAATCCATTCACGGTTTTACAAATCACGATTTTACTTAACCTTTTTTAGTATGCACTAGAATATAGTATATACAAGTTACAACCAATGGCTTATTGATCGTTAATTTGTTAACCACATATTCAATCCACCACGACCCTAAGATTTGTTTGGAAATGCTTTTAAAATAATTGAAAAAGTTTTTGATAAAAATATTTTTGGATTTCAAACTTGCAAGAAGTATCAGTTATGTACTTCTAATAGAAAACGTACTTTTTTATGATTCATTTTTATTTTTACTAACTATTGATTTTTAAAGCATTTTCCAAAAGCGTTTTATACACTAATTTGTAGTATAATTTTTGTTTTTGTGCTTACTAGGCTTGAAATAAAGATCGAAAAGGCCAAAAAAAGAAGAAAAAAAAAAAAAAAGTTGGTACGTGGCAATTACGGAAGCGCACTAAAGAAAAAAGGAGATATCCTAGTCAACTTATCATATCACACACCGTAGTTTATGGTGTGCCTCCAAAGTCCAACCGCATGGGGAGCGCTGCCGTTGACTACGCACTAACCGAGATGACCGGGATTGTCTTCCTCGTGATTCCAACTTGTTGGATTAATTATTTAACTAATTAATAATTAAGCAATTAATTAAGTAATTAAATAATTTTGTGGCCCTAGTTTTAACACTTGTGGTTTTGCCACCCCATCCAAGGTTCGTCTACAGTGACACCGTTGTCAGGATTTGGATTAATTAACCATTTAATCTTTGCCCTCTAATATTTATTGAAAGAGAATGTTAAAGATACTTTCTTAAAAATATAATTTTGTATTAATTCTGTGCTGTTTTGTATTTTTAACATCGTTTTCGTATCAATAATATAAAATATAAAATCAAAAATACGAGATTGCACCGAAACTCGCTATTGTACCCGTGGCTAGGCAAACTAAACATGTTAGCCACGTTTCTTTCTACTATCTATTATATTAAGAGAATAGTCATTGTCAACTTTTTTTTTTCTTTTTTTTTTCAATTTTGCCCTTACTTTTGAATACACAAAATTGATATGAAAAGGGTAAAATAGTAATTTTGTACATTTTGACAATAGTAATTGAGTGGTGATATTCCCATCCCGGTGTCTTATTTCCCCACCCACCATTTAATGAAAATGTTAATAACATATTTATCCTTTTAAAAAAAGACTCTTAAACCCCTATTTAATTCAGTACTAAAATAATAAATAAATATTGGTGGGTGGGGTGTGATATCTTTGGTCGAAAGAGGTTGTGAAAGATTTGGGTTAGAATCGACCGAAAGGTTGGAGGAAGAAATGAACGTATGCTAGATGATGGCGAGAAACTTCAAAGGAGAAAAAAGAGAATTGGGTGTGAGATTTGCGGTTTTGACAAAAGAAAGGAGGAAGAATAGTGGTTTGAGGATCCGGGGTCTCTACGAGGCGGCGTTAGGTGTGAAGGAGATGTTGAATGTCTAGGTCTTAGGTCTTGCATTTTCTTTCATTTTTTCTATATTTATTTATTTATAATATTATTTAAGGATATATCAGAGTTATTTAAAAAAAAATTATTATGGTTATTTTGGGAATAATGGTGGGTGGGGAAATAACATTTTACTTTTTTAATTGTCTATAGTGGGTGGGAAAATAGAACATTTGGGTGGGTCTAGTAGCACTCTAGTAATTTTGTATATTTTGACAAAATGACAATCATATCCTTATTTTTCCTATTTTACCTTTTTTTTAAAAAAAAAAAATGACAATCACATCCTTATTTTTCCTATTTTACCCTCACTTTTGATACACAATATTTACATAAGGAGGACAAAAAATAGTAATTATATAATATTAAGATAAAATATACACTTATTAAGAGAAATTGTTTCATCATCATTTTTTTACTCTTTTTAAAATTTTAAAATAATCACACTTCTTAACAAAAAAAATAAAATAAAATGAAATTATTCACACATACAGAATGTGTGCTCATCGGATGGCTAGTAGCAATTTAATCGAATAAGAGCAAATTCACGTGACTAGCGTGTCCGGCGCCAGACTCGCTACTGTAAATTATATTTTGTTTATAAAAAATTATGGTTCTGACCATTAAATAAATCTTAAATTATATTTTGGTCCTGCTTCAGATATATTTTGTTCAATATATGTTGGACAGCTCACTTGTGCTGGTTCCTTCTCGTAAAGACACTTGGACCCCTACATCCTATTCATCACTTTATACTAGATTCCTTAATGGCATTTATGAAAATTTTCAGCCTTGACCTGCAAGAACGTTGACGAAACATCAGTGTAATCGTGTCGTAAAAGTTTCTTTTTCGAATTTGTAATTTTGATAAAGGTGTAGCGTATTCGTTTCATGAAAGTTTATTTCTTGATCTCCAGCTTTGATACGGGAGTAGTCGCGTAAAGATGTATGACCAGTCATGTAAGTTTTTCTCTCGATCTTCATGTTTGATAAGGGAGGAGTTTGCGTATATTTTTGTCAACAAACAGAAATCAAACTTAAGTGCAAATAATCGTAAGCTAACACGACTAAGAAAATATAGGCGTAAAGAACAAGTACAAAAGAGTCGGCACAGTATTCTGGCCAAATCAATTGCCTGGCATGCGTCTGAAATATAATTAAAAAGTTAAAATATCAGTTGATTGTGGTCCCTGGTGGGTATATTTTATTTTTTTGTGGCATAATTTGCATATGAACTTCCAACTGTGTATCCATTTCTTATGGATCCGAATCTCGTCAGATTATTTTTTTGTGAAAATCTTAAAATTTTGTAAATCGTATTTGTTTATTGTACATTGTACAATAAAAAATCAGTTTAAATATTTTTATTTAAAAATAAATATAAACAGTATTTGACAAAAACTGATCGTATAATGTACAATGAACATATACGATTCATAAATTTCCAAGATCCTCACAAAAATGATCCGAAGAGTATCCCGTTGGATTTCTTGGCAAGTAAGTTGTAAACGTGGTGGAGGAGCTCACTTTTCAACTTTTCATTTGAATTAATGGGAGCGTTTGAGTATATATTTGATTCAACGCAAGCATATGCTGTAATATGCCTGCAGAAAATATAGAACATTTTGATCCCAAGGCACCACATAACAAAAAAATGCACATAAATATTTAAGGGCATATACTATAAGAGAAAATTCTTACATCCGGCCGGCTGTATACGGCAACACACTTACAAACACAACACACACGAACTTATTCCACCATCGGGAAAAAGTACTCAGATTCCGAGTTGAACACTCAGATATCGCAGATTCGTACACAAAGGATATGGGACTAGTTTGCTTTCTCACTTCCGAATCTCTCTCCTAAAACAAACAAGAGAAGGCGGGGAAAGACAAAGGATCCCCATAAACCCCACTTCTATCTACATTCTCAAGATTCTCTTTCCACTTTTTTTTGTTCTTCCTTTTTTTTCCCTAAAAAATGAAAAAAAAAAAAAAAAAACTGCCTGCAGAGCATCATGTGCAGGCTTTTTCTTACTTTGGTAAAACTCGTTACGTAGACTAATTGATCATCTCATCTTCTGCTTAACGGTGAACCCGTTCCATGCAAGTGTTTCTGCTTCCGCTTCTGCTTCCTAGCTAATATCTCTTGAGAGGATTAGGGGTTTTTGGGATCCATTGAGGGCAGGATTTCTGTTTTTTTAGAGAGGAAAGTGGGACTGCTTCTTATTCACATAGATTGGATGACTGGGGTTTGGCGATTTATGTACTTGGATTTGGTTGATTGATCTGAGTCAGCTGACCCAAAAGTCAGATTTGGTCAATTGGATTTGCTTCTCCACCACTTAAGATCCATGGGTGCCCTGAAAATTTTCACAAAAGAAATCGACTTTGTTAGTAATCGAACACTAATTGGAACTGACGGAAAACTTGACGCTAAACCGAGCTCAGTGACATTCTAGAATTAAAAAAACCGACCCATCTTAGTGCGGTAAGACTTGATTGTTGTTGTAGTAGAAATCAAACACTAAAACAATTAACTTGATAAACCAAAAATCAACTTTTGTTAGTAATCTTACTAAGTGCCTGGTCAGCAGAGAGTCTTCTGGAAGCGTCTCTGCAGATCATCTTCCTCAACAGATCCTTCGCCGCAGGCGATACAGATCGGAAAGCCTTCGGCGGAAATCTCAAATTCCCTCTCAAAACCGCCTCGAAGATCTCCGTCGCCGACTCTCCGTAAAACGGAGGAATCCCGCCGAGCATTATGTACATCATCACGCCGGCGCTCCAGACGTCGATCTTTTCATTATACTCCCTGCCCATCAGCACCTCCGGCGCGACGTAGTACGGCGTCCCGACAACGCCCTCCATGGCGCCTCCGTCGCCGGTCCACTCCGCCGACCCGAAATCCGCGAGCTTCAAATTGTTTCTCGAGTCGAACAAAACATTCTCCGGCTTCAAATCCCTATGAACCACCCCGAGGCGGTGGCAATGCGAGACGGCCTCGAGCAGCTGCTTCATGATCGCTGCGGCCTCGGGCTCCGAGAGCATGCGCTGCACGACGCGGTCGTAGAGCGTGGCGGGCTCGCAGAGCTCGAGCACCATGGCGAGCGAGTCCTCGGTCTCGAAGACGTTGAAGAGTTTGAGAATGTTGGGGTGCGGGGACAAAAGGGTCATTATCTTGGGCTCGTTCTCGAGGCAGGCGCGGTCGGTTTCGTCGGTAAGGGCCGATTTGTCGATGATCTTGCAGGCGACGAACTCGGCCGAGTCGGGCGAGAAGGCTCGGACGATGGTGCCGAACCGGCCGCGGCCGATTTCTTCGAAGAGTTGGTAGGAGTTCTTCAATGTGTCATACATTTGGGGGGGTTTTTCGGTTAAGGCCGTGTTTGGTTGTTTGTTGTTGGGATTTTTGGGTTTTTTTTTTTTTTTTTTTTTTTGTTGCAGGTTCTTTGGGGTTCTGAAGAATTGTGTTTTGGAATTTATAGAAGGAAGACGAAGTGGAATACTCCGAAGGATATTCGCTTTGGTGGGTAAAAGCGTAAATTTATTGAATTTACGCTTGAAAGTGGATGGCTGCGATGTACGGAGTGGTTTGTTTGAAATGACGGAACTGCCCTCGTTGTTAGTGGTTGAGTGGAGTGCTGGGTTTTGTGAGTGTGCTGAGGAGGCAAAACCTAAATTGGGAAAATTGGTTTTGGTTTTGGTTCTAGAAGGACCTTCAAGAAACAGTACGGATCTAAACTGTATATTAAAAGTTGGTTTGGGTTTATAGTGCTTTTTAAAAAAGGCTATTAGTAAAAAATTTAGAACTTCAAATATGTTTTAGTAAAATAAAAAAATGCTTTTAAAAAAAAAAATTATAACGAAAAGATTCTAATACTGTTTACTTTAACGAAAAATCATATTTTTATATTAAAAAGTCAATTCTGATACTATTCATTTTCCCTTTATTTTGCCCTTATCGTTAAAACTCAAAATTTTCAAACTCTTTTCTTTAGTTTTCTTTTTAAAAAATTGTTGATAGTAGAAAAATAAAAGCATGGTAGACCATATTTCTAAAACAATAATGCTAGAAATACTAAATTTGATGTGTCACTAATAGAAATGAGTATGTTTATCAACGCTTAAATAATAAACCAATCATCAACTTTTATGTTATTTAGTTTCTAAAATTTTATCTACGAATTTAGTCTCCCTAACTTTTTTCAAAGCATAATGAACAATGCTCACATTTTTGTGAACAGTGCCCAAATATTTTACAAAATTACAATATTTGTCTCTGCATTATTCTCTTGCAATAATTATATCACATAAAATACCATATATATTTTTAGTCATTTAACATATTCGTAGTAATTTTATATAAAAATTTACCAAACACTCAGACACAATTATTATTATTTTTTGTTAAAAGCACTTTTACAAAAAAAAGTTTATCAAACATTTAACAACTCTATTTTACAACTATTTATTGTCACTGTGTGACAACCTGTCCCGAATTATAATATATTTTGTCCTCGATAGCGTGGGAATGACTTTTATGCCCTTGAACGTTGAGTGTGTTGTGTGAATGAGCTTAGGATTTGGACCAATTCATTTTTCTTCCTAAGTAGTTGGACCCAATTAAAACTTAAGATTTTTTTTTGTTTGTTGTTTATTTTGTTTGGTTGGCCAACCTGGACCACACACACACACCCGTTGACCTCTTTCCCTCTCCCTCTCGGATTTTCTTCCATTTTTTGTACAATCGTACAATCACTCTCTCAAACCACTTCATCACTCATATATCAAGGTTGTGGATCTTATCTTCGTGCTCCTTTCAAGCTTAAGAGTCAAACTATAGCTTTGGTTAGACGTGAGGACTTCGAAAACTCGAGAACCAGAGAGCTCCGATGAGGTGCGCTGTTACTCCGTCGTGATCGCGGATGTTTCGTTGAGTTTTAGGGTCCTAGGGAGTCTTTATAGTTCTTCGCAAAGCTCATAGAATAATTTTGGAAGGTTTTAGACGTCGAGACACTCGAGTTCGTCATGTTGCAGGGGTGGCCAGACTATCGAGATTTTTCCGACCAAATTCTGTTGGTTTTAGGACCTAAAAGTGGTAAGGATATGTTCTTTTTGTCCCGAGCTTCACATTGGTACCAATTTTATGAATTTTGGTTGAGAATTGAGTAAGTTATTGAAGTTTGAAGTTTTTCCAGAAACCGGTGAATGCAGCGGCGGCAGGTGCCGGAATCCGGCGAACCATTAGTGACGAATGAGAATATTCCGTCAACTTTGACGGAATATGCTAACAGCGTAAGGTAACACCGTTAATTTTTAGACAGAATATGCTGTTATTTAATGGAATATTCCCTAACGCCGTTAGGGATTCCGTCCAATATGCAAGGCACGTGCCTGCGCGTGTGGGAACTTAGAAATTTTTCTAAAAATATGGAGATGTTCATGGGGTTGAGTAGGCCACGATGGTATATTCAAATGCCCCAATTGAGCAACGTATGAGAAGTTATTACCTAGTTTTGTATATGTGCTTAAAAATAATGTTAAAATAGTTGTTTCGCATATAGGTGAGACTTTTCCAGAGGACAAGCACAGCCAAGCGAGACTCGAGGGCTACGACCCTTCCACATATAAGTGAGTGGGCTTTTGGTTTTCAATATATATATATATATATATATATAAACAGAAATACAAGAACTTCTTAATAAAGGAATTATCCGTAAAAGTAAGTCACCTTGGTCATGCCCTGCATTTTATGTTTAGAAGAACGCTGAATTAGAAAGAGGTACTCCCCGATTAGTTATTAACTATAAACCTTTGAATGAAGTTTTGAAATGGATTAGGTATCCAATCCCTAACAAAAGAGATTTGATAAAAAGGCTTTCTCAAGTAGTTATTTTTTCAAAATTTGATATGAAATCAGGGTTTTTGCAAATTCAAAATCGTGAATCTGATAAATACAAAACAGCTTTTGTAACTTCTTTCGGACATTATGAATGGAATGTAATGTCTTTCGGTTTAAAGAATGCACCAGTGAATTTCAAAATATTATGAATGAAATTTTCAACTAATATAGCCATTTTTCGATTGTTTATATTGATGATGTGCTTATTTATTCAAAGTCTATAGACGAACATTGGAAACATTTGCATTTGTTTGCTAGAATAATTAAGTCCAATGGATTAGTTGCCTCTGCATCAAAGATTAAACTGTTTTAGACCAACATTAGATTTTTAGGATATAACATCCATAAGTCTACCATCCAGCCTATTGATAGAGTCATTCAATTTGCTAATAAATTTCCAGATCAAATTACTGATAAAACTCAATTACAACGTTTTTTAGGTTCTTTGAACTATGTATCTGAATTTTATCCTCATCTCCGTCAGCAGTGTAAACCATTGTTTGATCGTCTCAAATAGAATCCTCCAGCATGGTCTACCATTCATACTTCCATTGTCAAACAGATAAAAACTCATGTTAAGACTTTGCCTTGTCTTGGCATTCCAACTCCCAGCTCTTTTAAGATAGTTGAAACCGATGCATCTGACATTGGTTATGGAGGTATCCTCAAGCAGCAAACTTCTTCCGGATCTCCTGAACAAATTGTTCGTTTCCATTCAGGAGTATAGAACTTTGCACAATGTAATTATAGTATTATTAAGAAAAAGATATTATCTATTGAATTATGCATTAAAAAATTTCAAGATGATTTATTAAATCAAAAATTTTTAATCCGTGTTGATTACAAATCTGCAAAACATGTTTTACAAAAAGATGTTCAAAACGTTGCATCCAAATAGATTTTTGCACGGTGGCAAGCCATATTAAGCATTTTTGATTTTGATATTGAATACATTAAAGGCAGCCACAATTGCATTCCAGATTTTTTAACAAGAGAATTTATGCAGAGGAAGAATGACAACAAACATCAGTAGCCAGAGAAGGCTTCCAGCCAATCTTCCACCTCCACCACCAGTAAAACAGGAATCTATTCCCGATTCCTCATCAGCCTTAGCCATTACCAACAGATTCACTCCCTTAGGATCCACAATAGGAAATATCCGACCCAACTACCAAACGACATTAACCAGTTCATACGACCCATATTCATCCATGCCAACCCTATCATCATTCAAACCAAAAACACTTAGCTTTGCTAAAACATCCCCATATGTCAAGAAAAACCCAATGGAATACCTATTTTGCATCCCCCATCATATTGACAAAAAATAACCACCAGGACAAATAGCCAAAACTATTTTTCCTCCAAATTCCCATCATTTACCAGAAGTATCTTATAAAACCCTCAAATACTATCAAGTCATCCTCTCTGAAACATAAAACATTGCTATTAAGCCCATTTACAGTACCACCCATGAACGCAAAATACTCTACCATTCCCTTCATATTGGTAGATTTTTTACAGAACAAGATGGGGAATCCCCCTTATCAAACCAAGCAACTTCACACCCAACATGTTCTCCTTCCGAACAACCATTATAATTACTTTGATTACATTCAAGCTTGGACTAATATATTTCTTCATCAAACGGTTGATTTTAGCCACTCATGGTTTGTAACCTTTGACAGAAATTTTAGGCTAAGTTTTCCAGCATGGTTTTCCAATTGGTGGTCAGTTCACGGCCCAACATCCAGCTTACTACACGAAGAACTCATACAGGTTTTATCATCTAGTTTCCAACAAAGATTCGACAGAAGCTGGTTCGATGGCAGAATCACCTTTCTATCATTGTTCATGGCTAAATACAAGGTCCCCTGGATCTCCAGATGGAACTATGAAGTCGAAACATGCCAAATCTACAAGTCCCAGTGGGTCAAATGGTGGGGCAAATTTGATTGCCAGAAAATTATCAGTCTGGTCTTATCCGAGTTCCCTTTAGTTCCTATTCCAATGGTGTCTCCACCAGTTCAAAAGGCATTGCCAGAAGTTCCAGAAGACATTCAGTCTTTATCAGACATTAGTCATTCATCATCCCTCAAGGGAAAAACAAAGTCATCCAAATCATCCAAGTCTACAAGTTCGAAGAGAATAGAAAAATCCTCTCAACTTATTTGGCAGATAAGCTTATGGCAGAAACAGCCTTGCTAAGAAAAGAAGAAGAAGAACCTGATTTAAACTCATCCGATGCTTCATCACAAATTCCTGCCAAGTGGGCAAATCAAGCTGATTACTACCAAGATTCTCAAGATCTGTTTGAAATTTGAATTTTTCAAAATGTAATAGATTGTAATCATTTCAAGGGTTTTACCTGTGTAAATTGCACAGTTCTAGCCATGTGATCAGCAATAGCAGCAATCATTTCGACAAAGAACTATTCATCAGCAGTAGCAACAGACAAGACACTATTCCATGAATAGTAAAATCACTTTTTACTATTCATCCATAAATTCGAAGTCGGAACGCGTGAATACACAGTGAAAGCATCATCATT